ACTGTGGCCCCGTCCAGGCTGCTCGGCTCCGAGCGGTAGTTAGGCTGGCGGCTGGACATGAGGATGGAGGGAGATGGAGAGTCAAGACTCTCCCCACGGATCATCTGAGGAGAGGAGAGAGGAGAAAAAAAACAGACCAAAGGTAGAGGTAGGGAGTGGGTGAGCAAAGGTGTGATGAAGATGAAGGCGAGCAAAGAGTAAAGAGAGAGGGAAGAAAAATGAAAAGCACAATGTTACCTCAGGAACTGATAACATGCTGTAGCACAAAAACAACTGTTTTTCTAAAGAATCTAACAGAAAAAAAGAGTGGTGGGGATAAATTGGATGCTTGACCGGTGCTCTACTCCATCATCACACTAGTGGACTGGAAACATTGACTGGCTTGAACAAGCACTGACACTGCATGTCAAAGACTGCGTTTATCAACACATACATGGAAGTACGAATACATACAGTACACGAACTACACATTCCAGTCAATGCAGTCTCAGGGGAAAGGACAGATCCACTCGAACACACAGAGACAGCCAAAGGGATACACACACAGATGACACTAGCTGAGACTTACTGATCAACCGATGGCCACTGAATGATCAATTTAAAGTAAAAACAAAAAAGAGGGGCATGGTATTAACCACAAAGGAAATTAGAAGGAGCGGGGCATATCAGCCACCAGACCATCTGTTACAGTAATCTATTGGATATTGTTTGTTCTGTTCTCTTCACTTGTTTTTGTGCAATAAGGTTGAGCACGTTTTACAAATTCTAAAACAAGCTTGCTATGAAATAATCAACATGGCTGTGTGTATTTAAATGAATATATTTAGATTTACATCTGGAAAGGACATGCAGTTAACTTCACTCTAAGATAATTGTTCCTTCAATGTCATCAATATACACCATCTACATAATGATATGTTAATAGTTTATACTCAGTACCTTGAGGTGTGTGCAAATGTAAACTGATATGTACCTTGTTGGGGTGTGTGAGGGCAGTGTGGTTCCTTCCTGGGCTGTTGTAGGCTGGTCGGTACTTGTACATTGATGGCGTAGGTGGAGCTTCAGTCAACAAGCTGCTCTCTGAGTAGCAAGAAACCAAAAGTGACATTTGAAAGAGGTGCACTTGTAATTAGAAAACATTCAGCTGTTTACATAAGAAGTAAAACACTTGAAGTACCTGGGCTGCTTTAGATGTTGACATGCCTGGTGATATACCTGCAACCAACTAGATTCGCTTATATATTTGTGTGTGTGTGTGCATGTGTGTGAGTCTCACCCTCCGTGTCAGCACGGGGCAGGCCAGGGTAACGCAGCTCCGGCTTTGGAGGAGGTGGAGGCTCTGCATCAGCTGACTGGCTCTCCATCTGATCTAGACTGCTCTTAGACTGGAAGAGACACACAGAGAAGTCATGTAAGCAGACATACAGTATTACACTGTACACTACAGTGTCTGACCGCAGAATGAACTGACTGTAAAAGAAAAATTCATAGGGTTGAGCAGAAGTTTTCTGGTATTGTATTATCTATACTCTTAATCAGTGTGTGAAATACAAATACGGATCCCCTGCCGTGGGCGGTACTTCAAAAGGAAATCATCAACATCAGCTAAACGTTAACACAGTTTCATCCTATTTGTCCATTAGCAACAAAAAACAAGAGAAATGTTAAGTTTAATAAAAATATCATGTCCAGAATCGAAGTTGCAAATGCAAGTTTCAGTTTTTTGCAAACGTAACGTGCATCTGCAAAGCTCAGCATCCGAACTGACCTGTTTCCAACAATTATCTCTAAAATCAATTCTTTTTTTTCTTTTTTTTTATATTTGTATTTGTATATGTGTATATTTTATGCACCAACTGCACCAGGTCACATTCCTCGTAGGCGTAAAAACCTACTTGGCAAACAAAATTCTGATTCTGATTCTGACTCTGGACCTGAGACTTTTTTCTATATTATGACCTGGCAGAATTTTAACAGGAAAATACACTTTATAATATGGATAAATGATTTACCTAATTTTGAGAACCCACAAAACTTTTATTTTTATGTCTTTCTGGGACCGTAATTAGAAGCCCTACATATTTATTTTAATAGATCTGTGAACTGGAGGACCCTTGAAACTCAGTCAAAACACAGAAACATACAGTATATACCATTCATTTCTGAAACACATCAAAATGTCTGTGGAGATTCTACATCCAAACTTCCGCATCCATTGCTTGTTTTTGTTGTTGTTCATGTTTGTTGAATTTAGAAAAACTCACCCTCGTGCTATGTCGGTCATTCTGGATGCCGTTGTCCAGGACCTTGGCTTCTAGCTGGGCCTCAGTTAGAGGCGGTCTAAGAAATGGTGGCTGTACTTCCATGGCCTGAGAGCTCCGCCACCGGCCCATGTATCTGTGAGAGGGACATACAAGCAACATTTCAATTCTAATTCAAATGATACAGGTATTAACAGCAGCATTAGCACTATGCTAACAAACATAATCTAACACCAGAAGCTGCACACACTGAAGGTTTGTACTCATATATTCCATTAACTAAACAGACAAGTGAGAACAATAAAACAGAAGGGTGGAAAAGTGAAGGGGGAGAGAGAGCAATGGAAAGAAAGAGGCAGTGGAAAAAGGATAATTGGAGCAGAGTGTTAAAGGAGGGGAGTAAACAGATGAGTGCAAAGGAGAGAGGAAGACTGACCTGGGGGCCTGGGAGCTGCAGAGCACATGTGAAATATTCCTCAAGCAGCCGTTGGTGAAAGGGTTAACACCTCCCCGAAACTTCCCTGTCACCTACAGAGAGACGGTGGAGGGGAGAACATTTTTTCCAACGCCAACATTAATGATACAGAAAAGAAAATCTGTCATAATTCATTCAGTGGTGCAAAATATGATGCACACAACCAGCACTTGTACTGTACGTACCTGTTCATTTGTGGTCCTACCGCGGGCCACTAACACTATGTGGAACCCAGTCAGGCCAGCGACTGGGACAAAAAACAGACCAGCCACACACATTACGGCCATACTGAGAGGAGAGGGTCAAGGGCGGTATAACAAATTCAGCAAAAAAGAGAAAAGTAAATGAATAAATTAATACCAGACTATAAATCACAATGCAAACAAAATAGGAAAAGAAAGTCCCATATAATTTGTCCTGCATCTCTGCAGTGAGCCAAGTAAAGGATACGTAACAGCAGCGTGTGGTGTGTCCAGCTGCTGTCGGTGGTGCAGGACATAAACCAAACCAAAGCCAAACACGTTCATGATGTGGGTGGTAAGTGACAGCAGGAAGAGGAAGAAATGGCGATAATTCCTTCGACCAATGCAGTTATTCACCCATGGGCAGTGGTGGTCAAAATCCTGAGAGGGCACAGAGTCAAAAGAAGGACAAGAAGGTGCGAGGAGGAAAGTAACGATGACAAGCAAATACTGCAAAACATCACAATCAGACGTATAGACAATTTTCACCTCCCACGCTCACACATTGAAAACTAAGAATAGGACAGATCTGGGTTGAGCTATCAAGTCACACAGGAGTTCATAAAAGCTCACTACGAAATTAGGACTTGCTATTAAAACCAGAAAACCTATTATACACACACACACACAGGTGTAATGCAAACTCATGTAAGTAGGGATTTCTTGGAGTAAGTGCTGTTGATTCATTTTCAAATATGTATTTTAATTATTACAAAGCCATGGATGTGTTGTAAAAGTTCCATAAAAACAACAGAGATATAACATCAATAAGTGAAAAATATAAGAACAGTAATAACAAGTAAAAAAAAATGTAAAAGGCAAAAAGAGCCTACATAATTACACACACACACACCATCTCCCTGTTTCACCCCACTTCTCTGTTTAACATTCACTCATGTAATACTGTGAAATAAATTCATATCTAAATCACAATACAACAAGCCCATTATACTGTGTGTGTGTGTTGTGTGTGTTGTTGTGGTTGTGTGTTTGTTGTTGTTGGTTGTTTTGTGTGTGTGTACCTCCACACAGTTGTCGCAGACTGAGCAGTGAGAGCAGCGCGGCGGGCGGTAGAAGCGGCAGGTTGAGCACCACTTCATGCGCACCTGGATGCCTTTAATCTCCACTGTCTTATAGAGCGGAGCACGGAAATCATCCTCTTTATCCTCATCCTCCTCCGCTACAGACAAAAGACACACACACTGAGACTGTACCCTGAACGTATCGTAGTCCCTACATTGTGTTATAGGCATCATTAGTATGGGATAACTGTATTTCTAGGGCAAACACAAATCAACACTGTTCATGTGTATTTACCTCTGGGGAAGACTCCAGGGTCCATAAAAGTGGCCATGCAGAAGTTGGCAAGGGTGAAGAGGAAGATCACGGCAATGTAGATGGGAATGACAGAGGAAAAATACTCTGACAACCACGGGCACCTGTACAGTATGAAAAAGGACGGAAACAAAATTAGTTTGACGTATAATTGCCATAACTAGTCCGTCAAAGTTTGACGTATTTTCTTGGTCTGTTCAAGACAGAAATAGCATCAAGTAGATATTACAGAAGCAGGCTAGAATCCCTGCACTTGCTGGCAAGACAGAGAGCAAGTAACACTCCATCAACGACAGCTGATAAGCTTTAGCGCAGGGCAATTTACCCCCAAACAGTGAAGCTGTTCAGTAGCCAGAAATAGAAGGCTGTGATTGTAAATGGGGAGCTCACAGGTGTGATAAACTGTGTGAATACAAGTGCTGCAGAAAAGACGGCAAAATACCTCACTGAACTTATATAAAGGAAAAGCAAACAACAAAAACAAAAGACGTCTTCAAATAACACATAATGCACAGGGACATTTACACACGTGATCAGCAAACACACATATGTACATACATGTAGGAACTTTGTGTTTGTTCGTGTGAGCAAGATGGAGAAAGAGATCCTTACGTGAAGCAGAAGAAGAGGGTGGTGGATCCAACAAGGAAGGTGGTGGCTGCAGAAACCGGGACATATCGGCTAGGTCGGAACGGACGGGGAGGAGCAGAAGCAGGGACACCTACTCCTCCCCCAACCCCCCCACCACTGAAGCCCGGCATCAAAAGACAGAGACAGAGGGGAGGAAGACAGAGAGAGAGGTAGGTATCTACTGTCTACCTACTGTAAAGGCTGCTTTACAGGTCAAAATGGCAGATATGGTGTTTGTTTGGGAGGAGGGGCCATGACAACCAACTGGAAAAGAAAACCAAAACTATGCAAAGCAGCAACTGAATGGATGAGGGATTCTCTGTGTCCAGAAGCTAAATGTCTTCCGGCACTAATAAAATCACTCAGAAACCGAGGTTGTTGTTTTTTTTTTCTTTTTACATAGCAATATACAGATCCACTTGCGTGTGTACAGCTTGTTGTGAATATTTAATTTGTGTGCATAATCTTAATATAGGCTTATAAAAGCAAAACTATACAAGAGCAATGTGATACAAAAATATGTGTAGGTAATTCATAAATATTTTTGTATGGCTTTAAAGAAACTGTATTTGGTGCAACAATATAAATAAATCTTATCTCAAACTGCTCCCTGGCACCAGTGCAACCGTAAAACAGCTGTGCATGTACACAAAAGCACAGACGCTCGCACGCACGACTAAAATTGGAGCAGACTAGGTTTCTCTCCACTCCTGAAACTCAAATGATTACATTAATGCTCATCGCTGTGCTTTGAGTTCTGATTATGTCTCTCGGAGAAAATGAATATAAAAAGAAAAAGAACCGAAAAATTATAGAGGTAGTGGGTGGGTAGCCAGCAGGCCCGAGAGCAGAAGCACATAAAGGAGAACAGGCAGAGGATTGAGCGCAGCAGCTGCTGATGACTTCTGTGATTGTCCCAAGAGGGCTTATTTAGGCACTGGGTGGGTGGAAGAAACTGAGGATGGCGGCAGTAGGGACAGTTCCAGCGTTTCAAAGTAACTCAGCAGGGGAAAACAACTAAACAAACAAATTCACTTTCAAACCGGTTGTGGGAGGCTGCTTGACATCAAACAAAAGTCCAGCTAGAATTTCTTCTTAAAAAAATGTTTTAAAAATGACGTCAAGCCTTGCCTTCACAATTAATAATGTCTCGACAGCAAGCAGAGCCCCCTGGATCCTCTGAGACCCCTGCCTTCAGTCTTTCTGTCAATATGGGGACAAAATCAACTCATTCCAAAAAGAAGCCCCGTGTATGTCACCGAGCTGTCGCCGCACGTGGCCGGGTCTGGGTGTAGAGACCTCTCCCACCTCCAAATTCTCTGCAAATAGACCTCCTTTCCCATTCTGCATCTCTTAAAGGAAGCCATGTGCAGCAGTGGTGTTACGTAGTCTGATGCATATTAGTCCTTTTATCTCCTGTCTTCTTTCACCCACTGGCTCTGTTGGTAATCTGATGGACACTCCTGTAAAAACAACAACAACATTACACTGTCAGTGGGAAGGAGCTAAACAGACTAAAACAACAACTGAAAGAAGTACTTGATTACATTAATTTGCAGCTATTTTGATACTCAATATATTTGTTTCAAGCAAAAACAACAAATATCCACTACTTTACACTTCTTAATTATATAGATACTTTATTTATCCCGAGGAAATTCAAGTATCCAGTAGCATACGAAACATACATTAAACCTACATTAAAATAAAATTAACTTATAACAAAGTAGCCACAGTAAACAGTGCAAAACAGTCAACAGTACATTGATGTGCCACTTTTCTTTGTCCTGTGTGGTGGAAATCACTTTTACAAAGTCTGTTAAGGAAACTGTGATAAGCATTTCAAAGTTCACAGAAACACTAGACAGATTAAATCAATAACACAAATAGTCGTGGCCCTACACACAGGTACCTATGACACTGCCATGTATGAACATGCCCATGCTACCGGTTTCAACTCCATCACCGAAAGTTAATTTCCTTGTTGGGTTACAGGAGGGACTTATCCGAGAGAAGCAGAGGTTTCACTCTGATTTCACAACAATCAGACTGACTAATCAAGTTCTTACTGTCCTCAAACGCTTGCATTACACGGTGTGCTCACCATTGCTCACAAAAGAGTTGTTCAACAGGCAGCTGTCACAGCCATGCCCTCAGGTGGCCAAATGAAACACCTCCCACTGCTGGATATTAAAAAAACACCATGGAGACAACGATCTGTGACGAGGGTGAACGCCTTTGACACACACACAAACACAAACACACACACACAAACTAGTCCGTGCGGTGTGAACACACGGAAAAAGGATCCGGAGTAGCAGTGTAATCTGATAGTTTGGACACACCCCTCTCCTCAACAATCATAGGTACTAACAAATGCAGAGCTGTGTCCGAGGCAGACTGTCAGTGTGCCCGTTGTTGATCATCTCATCTGCCCCACAGCAAATCCCCTCTCACCCCCCTCACCTCACCCCCACCCCACCCCACCCCGACTATAATGGATGTTAATCCTAAAATCTCCGTGTGGAGCCTTGTGTGTCCTGTCCCCGCAACAACGTGCAGTTCGCAGGCTAACTACCTCCGTTAAGTGGCCGGCGGGGCAAACATTAACACACACTCCCCCGGGGGCAATACTGACACCCTGCCAGTCTCTAGCTGCTGTCCTGTCTGAAGCCAAGCGTCGTATCTTTCGACCGAGTATCACTTCATCTTTGAAACACCGTACGAGGAAACAGCCCGAGCGTTTAACAACAGGCCAGGGCAATGCTCGGGATTCAGTGGAGACAACTAACCGAGCACAGTCCGCTCACCCCGCAGCGAGAAACACTTTTTTTAAACTTAGAAAACAGACGCTGCGATGTTTCACTTCGATGCAATAACGAGAGATTCAAACGCGACCCACCCTAAATCATAACCAGTTAGCTCTCACCTAGCTTCGAAAGTTGGTTTTTTTTTTTTGTTTGTTTTTGGTTGTTTTGCGACACCGCTCAGTCCTTTACCACCGCTATAAAGAGTTAGCCACCGTTACCTGGCTAACTTAGCATGGGAGCTTTGCACCCGCGGAGCAGCTTTCATTAACGACCGGCAGGATAAGTGCAGCGACGTTCAGATAAACAGTCCTCACGACACATGGATACAAGAAGCAGAACATACCCAACGCCGCACATGCGAGCTGTCTTGCCACCGTAGGGTGTGGGTCGATACGGTCCTCCTTCACTTAGCCGATAGCAAACTTGTTAGCTCGTCTGCTAGGCCGACATCGGAATCCCGGAACTAGTTGGTCGTCGCTCAGGTGGGTTGAACAGCCAATCAGAGAGCGAGGAGGCGTGGTCTCAGGAAACTGCCCAAACGTCCTGCATTATAAAACAGTATTGATTTATTATTATTAGTAATAATAATAATAAACATACATTTTTATTCCCAAATTAAAGTTAAAAGACTGAATCTTAAAATAAGACTTAAATGTTACCATCCTTTCTGTCAGAGATACAAAGCAGAGGCAGATCCTGACCTAAAGTACGGATCAGTGACCACAAACTGGAAACTGAAAAAGGAAGACACAAAAAAATCATGGCAACCAAAAGAAAACAAAATATGTGGTCACTGTTCAACTGGTGAGGTTGAGACAGAGGTGCACTTCCTCCTTCAATGTACAACATTTGATGATATAAGGAGCATTTATTTTAACAAATTAAACTAAAAATCTAAACATAATCCTAGGAGAAGGAGACAGGACATATCTTGCTGCCCGACCTGAGGGACAGTGAGTGACACACATGCATAAGCACACACACACCCACATCCACGCCCACACTTACTTAATTGAATATCCTTGCAATAAAAATAACGATTTCTTGCTCATTTTGCGACAGTGAGGAAGAACATGACCACTCATTTAGTTTATGTCCCTACTAAGCCTACTTGTGGAAAACTATATCTCTATTTAAGAAACTTAAATGAGTCTTGGTTGTGGTTTGTAACACTGGAAACTCTTTAACAGATGATTCCATCAAACCTCTGTGGCTGGAAACTTCCACATTCATAAGTCCAGAAGAAAGAAGAAAGCAGATGCTTTGGTCCAAACCAACATGGATCAGGCCAGTACATAAAGTAAGGGGTAAATGCATGACTTTTATTTTATTTTCAGATTGTCTGAGAGTATTAGCAAGAAATTCTTCTGAGAAAGGGTTAGAAGCAGACATTGCCTCATTTGAATTCGTCATCAGTCGAAATGATTGGGAACTGCTGGTGTAAAGGCGGGGCCGTCTCCAGGGGTTTTACTCACTGAGTTAATCATTTCAAATTCTCCCAGCACAACCCAACCCCTCTGATAAGTTCTCAGCAAAAGACTTAACTTTTTATTCACTCACATTTCATCACTTTTTCATTATTTCTTCTTAAAAAAGTTTAATTTAAATATGTTGAGTCAAATAAAACACACAAAACAGAATCAGCCTACAAAACCCAGCGTGTGTAATTTAAGTTTACTGTAGAACAAACTGCAAACTCCTTCTCATGTCCATTCATCAGTGGTAGTTATGGTCCCGTCTGAAGATTTTAACACCAACTGGTTTGTCTCTCTCCACTAAACCTGCTTTTAATAAGGCATTTCATAATTAAGAGTCCTATTACAATCTGAAAGCTTGCCAATTTGTATGCTCTTAAGTGATACTTGGCAGTCACCATTTGAGGTAAATCCCATTTACAATGGAGAAAGGATCAGCTGTATAAAAAGAGTATAAATCAATGTTGTAAGATTCCTACAAATTACTTTGTAAACTAAATCTATTAGATTGTGTCGAGATGCAGATGAGCTAATTCAGATCATCAAACAAATACTCAATTCCTTACTTACATTTTCTAATTCTAGTGCAAGTTGCCCCTCTGTACATTTCTTTCAGATATTTTTTTTCCCACTATTCTTGAAAACTTTGAACATAAACATGGAAAAATGTTATGAAATTGCATTACTCAAACTGAAAGTGAAACTGAAATCAAATTCTTCCTCCCGGGTGTCCTTTAGGCCGACACAGAGACACTTTAAAACTTCAGATACTTGTGAGGACAGAATGCATATAGCACGTAATACTACTATTATTAACATTATTAATCATTTTCTATAAAAACCAAAAAACAGTACTGATGTGAAGCGGGAATTGGAAAGGCATTTCTTTGTGAAGTTTTCACCACAGATGCTTCCCCACAACAGCTACCACCTACGATGAAGCCACTGATTAAAGCCAATGTTTATAACAATCGCACAGAGAATAAAGGGTAGAAATGTGCTAAATATAAAACAGATTTGTTTATAAAACTAAAATACTGTTACTGTATGTTGTGCCCAACTTTAAATTGTTCACAACACAATAGAAATACAAATAAATGTGAACCGTGTGAAATGAGGTTGATATATATGATATAAATATATGCTGACCGTGGACATTAGCATAATTAAGACAAAATACGGACCTTTTTACATTTAAAAATTTATTACTCAAGAGAAAAAACAGTGTTTATAAAACAGATCATCATGAAAATAATTCCTGCACCGATAAAACATCCCTTAACACAAATTGCCCCAACATCTGTACAGTGTGGTCTATAAAATGGGGAATAATTTACAGCAGGTACAAATTTCAGAATTTCTCTCTTTCTTTCTTTTGCCCTCTGTGGTTCTTACAAAGCACAAAGACAACTAGAAAAGAAAATGCAGCTCATCTGGTACCAAATTCTTCTCAACAGAACTTCTCACTAACATGATCCCCCCCGTGTTGCGAACGAGTCCTCTTTCCTTAAGATTTACTTTATTTCATGTCCATGAAGCGGATGTCCATGATAAGCAGAGTGTGTCTGGGCAGTGGTCTGGGGGCTGGGGACAGCACTTTCATCACCTGTGTTTGCGTGTCCACGTAAGTCACCACAATAAAGCCACACACAGGACTTTCCACTATATCCTTTCTAGCGCCTTCCTCTCCGTCCTCGGCACTGCTCACGCTCAGCACATGGTACGTGAGGTCTCTCCCTGGTGTCACAGGCACCATCTTTAGCTGTGTGTCATCCTGAGACATTCCCAGTGGCAAGCACGAGTCCGGGATAGATGGTGCGCCGATCTTGTAGATGCGGACGTCAGAGAAACGCACTTCAAAGGAAAAAGGGTAGAAGGACACTCCACGGAAGCCATAGAAGTACTCGCGGATCTTTTCATCCCGAGTATCCCGCCGGCATTCCTTGGAGCGTTCCACCACCCCCCCGGACTTGGGTAGGAGCACAACACGCACAAAGTGAGGGAGGTCTCGTTTGAGTTCATTGTAGAGCCTTTCGTGGTCCAGCACCAGCACCACATCCACCTCAAAGGCAGAGGCACAGTGGACCAGAGCCTGGTATCCTGATCCCTTCACCCAGCCGCAGGTGTTGATGATACAGCCTCCCACGCTGGCTTTCCTGTTTACCTCACAGCGCTGGGAAAACACCTCCGCCAGGCGTGACGTCAGCTACAGATTATGAGAAAAGAACAGATTAAATTGGGCCGAGGCAAACTAAATTTGTAGTTTGGCAGTAGGCTTTTGGCTTCATACTGTTATGTTCTGAAATGTCCAGAATTTTCTCACCTTATTGTAAAGTTTGATGTTTGTTCCTGGGGTAGTAGAGCCAAAGTGGTAGACCAAAGGAGCCTGGACTGAGAAACCCTCCTCCACGTCTGCTGGACGCTCAATGCACAGTGCCGACACTGTCCCAGGTACAGACACCTGAGGAGCAGAATGTACTTCTTACTCATACTCGAACTGATGTTTCTCAACACCTCCACTCTATATCCTTATACTGTAAAAGTCTACATCACAAGCAGTAGGTCACTGTTGTCATTCTTGTGCAGAAATCTTGTGTTATAAATAGTAAACCTCCCATTATTGTTTATGTGACTGACAGAACCAGACATATGGGCATGCTTCATTTACAGGCATCATAACTATTATATAAAACAGATTCTGTAGGTTCAGTATTAAAGTATTAAAGAAGAAAAGTCTGCATGACAAGCACAATAATACAAATATCAGCCGGTGATATTCTTCTAATTTCTGCAGTCTGGGTCGATGTTTATTATCGTAACTCAAATTTTTCTTACCCCGCTCTGTCCGACATCCAGTTCCACCAGTGTTGGCCTCCGACCCACCCTTACAGCATAGCTTAATAGGAGTCGGCACACCGTTGACTTCCCCACATCTGTAGGTCCCACTACCATCACCTGAGGGATGATTAATTATTCTATGTCAATACAAAATGCATTCACTGGGATCTGACAAGCTTGCATATAAAGGCCCCTGAAAACAGTTCATTAAAACCTACCCTTGGCCCCCTCTCATTGTCCCGCTCTGCTTGTTTTCTCATCTGTTCCAGGGCAGCATGTGTGTTCAGGTAGAGCAGCATGGGAGTATCCTTGGACACATAAGCCACCTGTGGTGATGAGGGAGAGACACTGGTTATTTGAGCCTGAATGGTGAGCTGAATCACCAAGTAAGCCAAAACAGAACCCCCATAAAAACACATTTAGACTCTCCTCCACACGCTCACCTCTGGCTTCCCAAAAAGATTCACACTGCAGCCTTGCCAGGTGAAAACTGCGATCTTGGAGCCTGGTCCAAATGTGTACTTTTTGTTGCGGTTCAGCTCCGAGCCAAACACCTCAGCCATTCCTGTGAGGAGCTCCAGCTCGACTTGCTCTGCTGCCTCCCCTGACTCCACCTCAAACCGAAGTTCGGTCTCCTTCTCCAAGTCGAACCTGGTGCTGGCCTTCCCAGTTGCTGGAGCCTCTTCACTCGTCTTCACTTCACCCTCTGTTGCCATGACTGACATGGTGAAGTCTTTGTTACAAATACCTGCCAACAATAAGATAAGATAA